GTGATTGTTATGGGGATGATGTAAAATAAATGAAAAAATGTTAATAGAATAAAAATGCGCATATATCCATTGTTTATATATAATAGAAATGTAAATGAATGAATGAATTGAAAAATAAAGTTTTAATCATTTTAGTCCGATATTTTAATTGATAACTTAGCTTTATCGGGTAAAGTTTAAGCTTATCGCAGAGCTAAAGTTTATGATTAATGATAAGAACAACTCTAAGTTGTAAAAAAATCGTTTCAAAACAACTTTTCACTCACCTGCCCACATCCAACTTAGAAACAATAGTTTAATCTCCCTACAAAGGGGTGGCAATGGCACGGCCGGTTAAGAGGCAAGCAGCACAAGTAGCACAAGATGACATTAAGGAGGAACACCTTTTGGCTTTTATTGCGAAGGACAAATATGATGATGACGCTGAATACAAAAAAAGGCTCAAGGAATATTGTGAAGAGTTGAAGAAAGCAGATGAAAATCTGGAGAAAGTGGATAAAAAAGTTAAAGGACTTTGTGAAGGGAAAGATAAAAAATGCACAGACCTGCAAGTTGAAGATGAATTGGACGCTTTTGAAGATGAAGTTCAAGAAGCATTGCAAGACATAAAAGATGAAAATTGTAAAAAACATGAAGAAAAATGTATACTTTTAGAAGAGACGGGTTATAATAATCTTAAAGAGAACTGTGTCAAGTTGAGGGAAGGATGTTACGAATTGAAGCGTAAAAGGGTGGCAGAGGAGCTTCTTTTCAGGGCGCTCGGAGGGGATGCTAAAGATGATAAAAAATGTAAAGGAAAGATGGAAAAGGTTTGCCCAGTGTTAAGTCGAGAAAGCGACGAATTGATGTCTTTTTGCCTTAATCCGACTAAAACGTGTGAAGATCTGAAAAAAAAATTGGGTACTGTTTGTGGGCCTTTAAAAAAAAAATTGGAGGCAAATGAATTAGACGGAAAGTGTCATGAAAGACTTGAGAAATGTCATTTTTACAAAGAAGCGTGTGATGATTCAAAGTGTGATGAGGATAAGACGAAATGCGAGGAAAAAGGATTCACATATAAAGCGCCGGAGTCTGATTTTAGTCCGGTCAAGCCGAAGCCGTCGTTGTTAAGAAGTATTGGGTTGGATGATGTGTATAAAAAGGCTGAAAAAGATGGAATTCTTATTGGAAAATCAGGAGTGGATCTACCAAGGAAGTCAGGTACAAAATTTCTGCAAGATCTCTTGCTAGTCTTGAGCAGAGATGAGAATGTGAAGGAACCAAAAAAGAAATGCGAAAAAGCGTTAGGAAAATGTGAAACTTCTAAGTATTTGGATCATAATTTGAAAGAGTTATGCAAAGATGAAAAGAAAAACGACAAATGCAAAGAATTACTAGATGTAAATGTAAAAGAAAGATGTACAAATCTCAAATTAAAACTTTATCTCAAAGGGTTGTCTACAAAGTATAATAATGAAAAATCAGATCTTTTATCGTGGGGACAGCTTCCAACATTATTTACGAAGGGAGACTGTGCAGAACTTGAGTCGGAATGTTTCTATTTAGAAAAGGCGTGTACGAATAAGATTGATCAAGCATGTCAAAATGCAAGAGCAGCGTGCTATAAAAAGGGACAAGACAGGATGTTGAATAAGTTCTTTCAAAAGGAATTGAAGGGAAAGCTTGGTTTTGTAAGATATAATAGCGATCCTAAAGATTGTAAAAAATATGTGGTAGAAAACTGTACAAAACTTAAAGAAGATAAAAGATACCTTTCAAAATGTCTTTATCCTAAAGAACTATGTTATGCGGTTTCAGATGATATTTTTCTTCAATCCAAAGAGTTGGGTGCGCTTTTAGATGATCAAAGGGATTTTCCATTAGAAAAGGATTGTCTTGAATTGAAGGAGAAGTGTGATGAACTTGGTAGTGATTCATTATTGAATTTAGAAAAGTGTATAACATTGAAAAGACGCTGTGAATACTTTAAGGTTACAGAGGGATTTAGAAACGTATTTTTAGAAAAAAAGGATGATTCGTTAATGACTCAGGAAAACTGTACAAAGGTATTGCATGAGAAATGTGATGCTTTATCTAGGAGGAGAAAGAATTCATTTAGTGTTTCATGTGCTTTACCAGAAGAAACATGTAGTTATATGGTATACCATACAAAAGAGGAATGTAGATATTTAAAAGAAAACATCAAGAATGGAGGAATTGTAGGAAAAATTGGAGGAGCAAATGGGAATGAAACAGCACTTGAAGAACTCTGCACAACATGGGGCCGACATTGTCACCAACTTGTGGGGAATTGTCCAGATCAGTTGGGAAAAGAAGACAATGGCAATAATCATAACTGTGATGAACTCGAAAAAAAATGCACTGATACCTTTAAAAAGTTGAAAGCGAAGGATGATTTGACTCATTTGTTGAAAGGCAATTTAAGCGAGGAAAAAAAATGTAAAGAAGCATTAGAAGAGCGTTGCGCTGAGTTGCAAAAGGATAATACATTCAAAATTCTGCTTACTAAGTGTGATGATACTACCAAGGGAAATGTTTGCAAAGAATTAGTTGAAAAACTAAAAAAGAGATGTCCTACTTTAGAAACCTATCTGAAGAAAGCGAAAGAGGAGTTGACAAAGATGAAGACTGAGTACGATAAGCTCAAACTGGCGGCAGAAGAATCCACAAATAAAGCTAAGTTATTGCTATCAAAGTCTGGAAAAGCCACAATGCCAACTGCGCAGAATGGCAGTGCTTCTGCACCAATACCAGCACCAGCAGGATCAGAGTCGTCATCAGCATCAGGGTCACCACCAGCATCAGGGCCACCACCACCACCATCATCACCATCACAAAATGGAGCACCAGATACATCAAGTGGAACACCAGGCACAACAGGTGAGACGAAGAATCCAAGCCCTGGACTTGTTAAAAGAGCATATGTAGCTGAAGGAGTATCAGAAGCAGAGGTAAAAGCATTTGATGCAACGACGATAGCATTGGAGTTGTATTTGGAATTGAAAGAAGAATGTAAAGCTTTACAACTAGATTGCGGTTTTAGAAAGGATTGTTCAGATCTTGGTGTTTGCGAAGAAATAGACACGTTATGTAAACTGGAACCATTAGAAATTAAGCCTCATCATACAGAGAAAATAACAGAAACGAAGACAGAAACGAAGACGGAAACGAAGACGGAAACAAAGACTGATGGCAAGGCTGATGAGAAGACCGTTGAGAAGACTGTTACGGTAACCAAACCAGGAAGTGGAGGAAAAGTAACAGAAGAGTGTACAATGATACAGACGACAGATACATGGGTGACGAGTACGTCATTGCATACGAGTACGATAACGAGCACGTCGACAGTGACGTCGACAGTGACCTTGACGTCGATGCGCAAGTGCAAGCCTACAAAATGTACTACTGATTCAAAGAAAGAGACAGACAAAGGAGGAGAAGAAGAAGAAGAAGTAAAACCAAATGATGGGATGAAAATAAGAGTTCCTGATATGATTAAAATAATATTGTTGGGAGTGATTGTTATGGGGATGATGTAAAATGAATGAAAAAAATGTTAATAGAATGAAAATGTGCATATATCCATTGTTTATATATAATAGAAATGTAAATGAATAAAATGAAAAATAAACTTTTAATTATTTTAACACACCATCTTAGTTCGAAAC